AATTGGCAGGTCTGAAGCATCCATGTAACCTGTTACATAAAGGAATGCAAACTGATACCAGATAGTGCAAACCTAAAATAAGTCCTCAGACTGTGTAAATCTGTAGAACTGGAAAGCTAGAGCCCACTTGAAAATTCTGAACAAAGAGGTAATACAGATCTTTAACAGTACTACTATAAAGACTAGACCTAGAAAATAGATACCAATATAAAGGATTTGAGTAGGCAAGAACCTCAGATGAGAGGTATCACCAACCAGGCTACTGGATTTCAGATCAGAGAAAAAGGATATTGGGCTGGCCTCAATATATCAAGGACAAGTTACAGTTCTTTTGGGCTATCTGAATTGAGAGTCTGAGTTCAAAGCAGAGATATACTATAAGTACTAGGAATATGCTATGAAGTCAGTACTAGGGTCTGGGTGAACTTTGTAAGAGTAGCCTGTATTAGTGTTCTAAAAGTGAATAGATAGTTAACAATAAGGGGCCCTCTGTGCCTTACTGGCAAGTGACATACTCTAAAATATGTAATAGCTTGATAACTAGTACAAAAAGGGTAGGTACTATACTGCTCAGATAATATACTAGTTAGGTATATATGAGGGTTAGTTAGGGATTTCAATATGATAGAGCAGATGATCAGAGAGTTTAAATAGATAATCTTCTAGTAAGTTATAGGTATAACATCTAGTGTAGAACCTTAGGATGGACTATTTAAATAGGCAACCAAAAGTTGTATATGTGATTAGCTATACTCTCATTTCTGTAAAAATAGTTGTAATAGCTAACCCAATATAAAGTCAATAAAGTATTACCACAAGTATGGCCTTTAAAAATAAAAAAAATAACAAAATCAAGTTATCACAAACTTTAATCTTACTTTATCATATTTTGTACTTAATAGTATTGATTAAGATAAAACTATTACTTTTTTTTAATAAAGAATTTACTATAACCCACTTATCTTATACATTTATAACAATTTTAAAGATTATACTATACAAGTTTCTTGATTAACTTATCCTAAACATCAAATATACAACAAGCTTAACTTATATTACTTAGTTCTTACTTATATAAATAATACTTTTTGAATTATATTTTTATAACAAGAACTATTACAAATTTGTTCTATAGCTAAATTATTCTTTAATATACAGTAGCTAATATACAGATTAATCTCTTTAAATTTGTACTTACAACTAATATAAAACAAACTAATTATATTTCTATTATATACAACAACTATTTTTTTAAACTTTATCTACTAAATAAACTATTTAAATTTCTTGAATACTAGTTTACATTTAACAATAAACTAATTAAACAAACCAAGCTTATTATATCAAAATTATTACATTTTATCAAAATTACTAATACCAAGCAAATTACTAATATATATGCATATTATATTATTAATACTAAAATAAAATATTATTTTTACTAAATTTAGATTATAGATAAAACTGTCTAAGCTTTAATTTTTGTATATAGTTTTTATTTTGTAGTTTATAATCTTAGTATATTTTAATATATAGTATACTAATATGTACAATTAAAATTACTAATAAAGATATATGCAAGGTCTTACCTTAATACTAAAAAAAAAATATCATCTTTATAATATTGTTTTTAATCAAAATATATACAACAAAATTCTTACAAGTTATATAGAACTTATAAAAAACAAAGTCAAACTTAGTTGCACAATTCCTATTAACAAATTACTTCACTTTCAGTTATATAATATTTATAATATATAGAATATTCAACTACAACATTATATTACAAAGTTTACTAAAAAACTTAATTTTTCTGATCTTTTGGGAATAAGTATTTGTATTAGAATTTAACAACTTTAAAACAACTTGTAATTACCTACTAATATTCTGATACATGATAATCCTATTATTGATAGGCCTAATAAATATTCTGTTAACTTCAAAATTATTCAACTTTTTAAATATCTTAGTATAATGTTTATATCAAATCTATTATATAATATTTTATATACTATTTAAAAAAAGTTTATTTTATTTAAATTATTAGTTTTATCATATTCTAAATACTTAATATTTAAAAAATAACTTAGATACTACTATATTGTTTACTTAGATCAACTCACTATATTTGATAACTTAAATTTTCTAGACTAAAAACACATATCTTCACATATAAACAAAATTTTTGAAGACAAAAAACAACTACTTTAGTTTAATTACTTAGTGCCAAAGTTGAATATATATGCTTCAAGTATCAAGACTTTCAAAAAGAAGACCAAACTACAAGCCACTTATATAATTATACTTTTTATTATATTTATACTTACTTAGTACAAATTATTGTAATTATTTAACTGAACATTTCTTTTATACAAAAAAATATAACTTATTATAATACTTAATGATTAAATTATTATTAGCAAAGTCAGAAAACAATCTTTCTTCTTAGAAACCATTCTTATTACTTACTAGAAATACTATATAGAATTACAATTTACTCATTTTTATTCTTTTCTATCTATTTAATTACAAACATATTCAGGTTGTGCTTTTAACTCTTATACAATTGCTAATAAATGTACAATTAATATTTTTATTAATCTTTCTACAAAATTTTTTGATTAAGTTAATACATACAACAAAACTCTTAACTTTAATATCAATTATTTTGATCTTATATACTCTATTGAAATTTAACATTTTACTTAAATTCCTAATTTTCCAATATTAATATTACAACATACTCAATTCTAAATATTTTTAAACCTGATATTTTAACAGATAATTTATTAACTACAATATACAAATATTAGAACTTTATTTTTATACAAATAGCTTAGTTGTCAATCTAGACACATTATAATGCTTTATAAATATTAAATGGATCCAAATTTCAAACAACACTATATTACACATATTTTAAATCTAAACAAGAGACTGACCTTGCTCATTTAAATCTGAACTTACTACTATCTTATTTGTTCTTATTACTGCTTCTAAAAACTGTACTATGCACATATATATTAATTTACAGTTTATAATTTTTAAATATTACAGTCTTTTAAACTCAACTCATACTTTATTCTACACACATACATCATACTTCTCATTATAGAATACACTTATTAACTTTATTAAATTATATAATATTTACATTATTTTCTACAAAGTTACTGCTTATCAAGATGATCAATACAATAACCTTGCAGATCAACTCATACACAATCATCATAATTTGTCATATTTTACCTTTATATCTTATAATATTTATAACCTTACATACACTTTAAACTTTAAAACTTTCTCTTAGAACTACCTATTCATTACAGTATTCACACAATATGCTATACACATATTTATGCATTATGGATTACTCAAAACCTTGAATGAAAAAATAATTGTGAGCAATCAGTGAATTTATAAAAAAAATATATACATATATATTATTGTTTAGGTCGATATCCTTTGATATTATGTCTATGTTAGTAAATTGTTTATCTCGCGCAAAAAAGCAATTTTATTATGAAGTTATAAGTATAATAAAATAATTAAATATTGGGAATTGATCATGAGATGAGGATAAGTGATGACGTTAAAAACAACTCTATAATAAAGTATCAATTCATCGGAATATTATTACTCAAGTAATCTTCAGAAGCGGGGGTGTCACCAAGTGAAAACTTGAAAACCTTACCACATATGTCCTGTTACACTAATACAGTAGTAAATAGAGATTTGTTAGATTATATACGTAATAACGGTAATTAAAATTTTTGACCTACGTATTATATACGTAATAACGGTAATTAAAATTTTTGACCTATTATGGTTTAATCATTTTTTTATTCGTGATGACATGGAAATTCAGAGTTCTTTTACATTTTTAAAATATTTCACTCACTATTATTACTACATTTGAGCTGTAGAATTAAATTTTCACTATACCGAACTTAAACCTAGAAAACTTGATAATCAGTATTAATACATTTTCAGAATTTAAATCCGTACTTACAGGTTTTCCCTCTGCAGCACTCATTTTTACGCCCAATGTATAATTTCAGGAAGTAGATGTCAATTAATTTGATGCCCTAAGATTGATGATCTCAAATAAGATATACAACGATTTATTAAATCATGCAGATCAAATATGTAACACTATAGTGTTTTAGTGAAACAATTATTATGTGTCTCACCCATAACCGTAACTATAATCAATTATCGGGCCTTTGAACCTGATGTGCAGATTCTCGTGCTATTCGTATGTATGTACATACGTGTGCAGTACATACGTGGACACAAAATTTGTTCTGGAAACACAAAGTCTCCTAGTGTGCATGATGATAATCTTTTGACATAGCATTTATGTTTTATTCATAAAATCGTGATGCTTATATTTTCATGGAAAAGCATTGTGTTTCAAGAGCAAAAAAATTAATACTTAAATGGGATAAATTATTTACGTATTATGGCTCTTTGATAGACGAAGATAGTGAACAAATTCGTTTACAAATCACACAAACAGTACTCAAAACAAAACACAAATTGCTCTTTTTGGAAATTCCCATAACAATAAAGCAAAGCATCAGCATAAAACGTAAGATATAAAATCCATAAAAAAACATTTCTATGTACGGACTTACTTACCCCCTTTTTCTGACAGCGGATATTAGAATATAAATGATGATATTTTGCCCATTTAGTTTGGTCAAAAACATATAATCAACAACCAATTTTTTTCATAGAAGCATTTTTTATTAGATATATTATATATTTATATAAATATAATATATATATATATATATTTATATTTATGTGTTTATAATTAATACACCATGTCGACATTCAAATTTATATCGCTAATTAAAGATATTATTAAGTCATCAAACTTTTCAAAATTATATACCCTTATTTTAACTTTAATAATAGCGATACCTCTTTTACATTTGGTCTTTGTATTTGATTTTATCAATTATTTCAATTACTTCAATTACTTAAATCCTATGATCAAAATTAATATAATATTACCTCAACATTCAAACGCATCTACCATGAATTATCAAAAACGTCCTCCTGACGGTTATGTCATTGACATAAATCAAGTTAATAAACATTGCGAACCAATAAATTATACCAACGCCGTTCTTTACAAATATCCTGTACAAAGTTGTTTGGATTATTTGGATTCAAAACAAACCGATTACTTGGTAAAACCTTCTTCTCCAAAATATTGTAATGAAAACGATCCAATGATTTTTCATGTTTATTGGAAAGGTAAAATGGTCGAAAAACTTGCTTTAATGATTAAATCTTTTCTATATACTCAACCATTAAGGTGCTCTTGTCTATATATTTGGGTTGACGAAAATTACAATGAAGATCTTCGCTTGAATAAAAATATTTGGCCATTAATTCGTTTCTCTGGAAAAAATTTATTCTTTAAAAAATGGATCACCGATGAACAATTAAATTCTGATCCAATCTTTCATGGATGGAAATCTAAATTATATTTAAATAAAAATATCGTTGGATTTAGCGATATAGTACGTTTCGTATTACTTCATCGCTATGGTGGAATGTATTTGGATGCTGACGTACTCTGTCTTCGAGACATGAGTCCGGTGTATCATTTAAACTTTGATTTTGCTTATCGTTGGAGTTTTTGGATGCATTATAATACCGCTATATTAAGACTTCAACCTAATAGTACAATAGGTAGAATTATTATCCAGGAAGCAATGTCGAACAATATGGATTTTCATCCGATGTCTATTAAAGATTATATTGTAAAGGATAAGTCAAAATCAATAACTGTTCAGGATTTGAATAAGCATCTTTATATGATGCCGGTAATTTTATTTGATCCTTTATGGTTGAAAGCTGATTTGTCTATTGTAAATCAAATATTAAGACCAAATTTAAATCTTTTTATTGATGTATTTAAACCTCATGTTTTGGACTATGAATTTCCGGCGACCCTAGTTAGAAAAATGAACAATGATCCTTTGAAATTGAGACACAAGCATCAATTCTTTAGAGGTGCTTTCACTTATCATTGGCACAATAACTGGCGCATGTCAATTGACCCTGAATCTTGGCTTGGTGTGTTGGAAAGTGCTTATGACGCGTTCCTAGAAGGTAGAGGTTCAAATATATATAATGAATATTTATCTTTTTCAAAGAAAAAGTTGTTGTAATACCTAACAACAATATTTGAATATATAGATTAAGTTTTGTTAGTAAATGTTCATAAATTTGTAGATATTTGACATATATAAAAAAATATAATTTCACTCAGTATTCATGAATTATTTAATTTGAACTTGATACTTATTAATAACGTTGTTCCATCTCTAAAAGGGTAAAACAGAAACGACTTGTGCTTTATTTCTGGTCAAGCTTATAAAAAAAAACACTATATTTAAATTTATCTGTAGCACTAGGATTTAATGTGCACCATTTGCTATAATTTCAGTGTATTATATAGCGAAACCTCTATAAATGCACCCTTTATAAGTGCACACCCTCTCTAAATGCGCGCTTAAATTCGGGCCCAAATCTACATGACCTCTATAAATGCTCTTTCTTACTATTTTCTAAGTGCATGTCAGTAAAGTTTGGTCCCGAGAGCATGCACTTATGGAGGGTTTACTGACATTTTACTGAAAAACATTTTATAAACAATTAATTTACAAACAAGTTCTAGGACCGACTGTGACGTAGGCACAGGAGGGATACTATCGCGAGGATCACCTGACCTTATGATCATTAGGTCATTGATCTAGCGAGTCAAATGGAAATTGTTAAGTCATTGATCTAGCGAGTCTAATGATAAGTATAAATAAGCCACAAATCCAAGAACGGAATTTGTGCTTTTCTTTCGCTGCTTTCAAAGTTGGCTGAAACCCTATTTTCTGGCTAATCGAAAGGTTCTTCCCTCCCACTTCTTCCTTCAAAAAAAAAAAAAAAAAAAATTAGGGCAATCAATTAACTGCATTTACAGCATATCGATACTATTTAGCGCTGCAAAATCGCAACGAAATTGGGTAATTAAGGGGAAATAGGCGGTTGTACATCCCACAATCATCAAAATAGCAAAAGAAACGGAAATGGTTGTATATTCCCTACATCATTAGTGTATTGACAGTTGTGATCGCCTCACACTATCTTAAGTAGAATGAACAGATGTGAACACCTCACACAGTTTGGTTAAGATAGGATGAGCAACTATGTACATCCCATACTGTTCGATTAAGTTAGAATGAACAGCTGTGTACACCCCACACTGTTCGATCAAGATAGAACGAACAGCCGTATACATCCCACATTGTTCTTGAAATAGGCCGAACTGCCGTGTACAACTCACACTGTGTTAAACTAGCGAGAAATGGATTAGAGATAAGTTAAAGTAACCACAATATTAGCAGCTTGGGAGCGGCACCATTCCCATAGTTTTCTACATAATGTATCTTTGAATTAATTGAATTAAGAAATTTAATATTGAAATATGGTATAGTTTGCAATGGAAATCCGAGCGAAAATAAAATTTGTAAACAGTATATTTTATTGACAGCTTATTTTATAGATAAGTTTTTTTTTTTATAAACCAAATTAACTTTAAGTCGAGGCCTAACCTTAATGACAATAACTAAAATTACTTCGTCTATGAAATGAGCTGTCAATGAATTATACTAGTATCATACTGTTTATAAAATAAACTTGTCTGTAATTAATTGTCTATTAAATAAACTTTTCGATAAAATGAGTATCAATAAAATATAATGCTTTTGGAGTGATTGTAGTCAGAACTGTTCTTAACTAGCTTACTATATTTGCCTTTAGTTTTATTATACTATTTTATATGTAATACGTACAAATAAATCTTGTATTGCATAATAACCTACAGATTTGCTTGCATTACACGATTTCTAAGTTCATTTTGTTAGAATGTTGAAGCATGGGTGAGCAAATCTATTTGTCCGGGTTTCTCCAATCCCAAATCCAAATCCATAGGTTTTGCTGTATGCTATCGCTATATATATATTTATAACCAGGTTATATACATACAAAAATTCATAAGCGATTCATAAGCGATTCATAGTCGGGGCTTATAATTTCTGATCTTGAATAACGGTAATTTGCCTAATAATGATGTTATCTGATCATGATTAGTAGGCTGAGTTTTAATTCGAGTAAACGTGAATATTTGTAACACATGAAAAAAATAACAGACAAATGTAAATTTATAGGAGTTTGTCGGATAATATATGAGTGATGGTCTGTAAAAACCTGTAAATAGATTCACTAACCAGAAACGACCCCTGATGAAATATGATGAAATATGATCGAATCTGATTATTCAGTAACACATTTATTACACATGTTATTATTTTTGACTTAGCAATTGTTTGATAGAAGCGTTTTGCAAAATAAGATGTGTAATAGAAGCGACTAGAACGGTTAGAATTGTGTATTTATCATTTAATTTATTTTTACGGTCAGATTCATCAGGGTCGTTTCTTGATAGTGAATCGATTTACAGGTTTTCACTGACGGTCACTCATATGGTTATTTGTAAAAATACTCCATTATCTAGTTTTAAATTCAATGTGCCAGCTTCTGGGAACCATCCTAGCATCGCCCAAAAAATCAGTTATGTAGCGAAATTTAAAATTAAACATCAGTACTTAATAACTCAAATAGTGATACTAATGACTTATCGATAAATATATATAGGGGGAAGTCAACAGAATCCAGGCACATTGTTTTTATTAAAAATTTTCTTGAACTTTAAACTTGAATATCTCAACAAAAGCTTGATCAATTTAGTATTTATTTTAATTCTACAAACATGTAGAATTAAAATAAATACTAAATTATCAAAATTGATTAAGCTTTTGTTGAGATATTCAAGTTTAAAGTTCAAGAAAATTTTTAATAAAAACAATGTGCCTGACTTCCCTTCATATATTGCAAATTACTTTCACTATACATACATATATTGCAGTTTAGAGTACTTTTTAAAAAAACGAAAACCAACCATAATAAAGTAAAAAAAAAAACCATATAGAAGATTTCATTAGAGGTGTAGGACTTCATAGCCAAAAATAAGATCTAATTCTCGTCCGTTAAAAAAAGTTAGTATAGTAATAACTTCTCAAAACCCGATAAAATCAACTTATTACTAAGCTAATTTTTTTAAATGAACGAGAATTAGATCTTATTTTTGACTATGGAGTCCTACAGCTCTAATAAAACATTCTATATGATTTTTTTTACTTTATTATTGTTGGTTTTCGTTTTTTTGAAAAGTTCTCTAAACTGTATAAATAATGTAAAATTAAATTGAATTTATTAGCCAATCAGACAAACTTCTGCCCATGATAACGACGACTGGACCATCGGAATGACAGAGTTACCAACAATCGCGGGCGCAGTCATGTAAACAGCCAACCATCTTTATATCGAAACAAGCCTACTCAATAAGAAACTTTTTTTAACAAATTTATAGAGTTGGTATATAAACATAATAAATTATTTTTATAAAGAACTTTATTATAAGAACTGACAGTTCATTATAGAAAACTATATCCTATTTTTTTTCTTTTTTATTCATATTTCGTCACAAAATAAAGGTGGTCTCATATGTAGAAACACAAGAAAATATGGTAAACAGACGACTACAGCTCACGTTATAGTGAAGTCCTCAGGCTTGGAAAAAACCTCTCTGTAACTTATATTGAGAGAATATTAAATATACTTTACAAAACTCGTCTATTATATCAAGAGCACACTATAACAAAAGTGGGCAGTATTTTGAAAGACTTGTTCTTTTCGTTATTTAAATCGGGAGTATATTTTAAAACTCTACAGTCTTTTATAGCTTCTATCAAATTGTTAATGAAGTACATGAATGCATATTTGTCTATAAATTCAATTAAAATCGAAGCTTACTACTTTATAATGATCCCTAGACATGACGAGCGTGAAATTTTAAGTTTGTATTAGTTTAGTTTGTTTTAGAACTCTACAATCTTTTATAGCTTCTATTGAATTATTTATTTGTGCTAATGTATGAGTGCAGATTCGTTTATAAATCCAATTATAGCCAAAGCTTGCTACAATTAACTTTTTCATAATGAATCCTGAACATAACAAACGTGAGATTTTAATTTATATTGGTTGAGTTCGAAAAGTGTGAATTTTGTTTATTTGATAATTCGATGTCATTTGTATACCATAATTTAAATTTAACAATTCATTTTAAAATCTGTTCACGATTATTATTCAGTAACTAAGTCTTTGTTTAGAATATATTTAACGATTTATTCTGGACCAATGATATCTTAAATAACAATTATGAAAGTTTTCCTTTACTATATTGATTTGAAATTACGCGCCTGGGAGTTATTTTGAATACACAATTTCCAGAGAGCTAATAATTAATTTTGACAAATACAAACGATAAATTGGTTTTTTTTTAAACTCATTTTTAGCTCTGGAAATCGTGTCTCGAAATAACGACCAGATAGTTATTTCGTAACAATGCGGTGATACACATAATAATAATAATAATAATAAAGGATTAGTAAGAGCACGAAAAATAAACGTTGAAAATTTTTCGAAAACAATTTTCCGGAGAATCAGAAGGTCAGAAATCATGTGACTGCACCTCGATTGTTGGTAACACTGGACTTTTTCGGAACGATTCGAGTTGTTTTGATGGTAATTACGTATCACCAAATAACAAAGTTATTTGGTGAAACGAGTTACTCTGATAGTCCGATCATAGTAAGTTATCGGATAATCACTCTTATTCTCATGACTAAAATTTCGTTGGCCAATCAGATTTCAAGACCTTCTGCGAAATTTCGATATTAAAATATTCTTCCTAACCTAAATTAATAGCAAAACCTAACCCTAATATAGTAGCGAAAATTTTTATGTTGGTGGCGCTAGGACAGTTATAACATTCCTGGGCATTATTCATAAAATACTGTATCTAATTCATAATACAATGAACCTCCATAAATTCACCCTTTCTAAATGCACGCTTAAATTCGGGCCCAAATCTAAGTGCATGTCAGTAAAGTTTGGTACTGAGAGCGTGCACTTATGGAGGTTTTACTGTAGTAGACATCGGTTTTAATAACTTTACAAATTACGGCATATATTTATTTTGAAAAAAGCCTATTTA